GGCAAAGAAGAACTCAAATTCTCACTCTTTGCAGATGACATGATACTTTATGCGGAAAACCTGCAAGACTCCACTCCAAAACTGCTAGATCTTGTACAGGAATTCAGTAAAGTGTCAGGATATAAAATCAATGCACAGAAATCAGTTGCCTTTTTATCAGTTGTATTTCAATACACCAACAGTAAGAAGAAAAAGAAATTAAGGAGTCGATCCCATTTACAACTGCACCCAAAACCATAAGATACCTAGGAATAAACCTAATCCAAAAGGCAAAGAATCTATACTCGGAAAACTATAAAGTACTCATGAAAGAAATTAAGGAAGACACAAAGAAATGGAAAAATGTTCCATGCTCATGAATTGGAAGAACAAATATTGTGAAAATGTCTATGCTACCTAAAGCAATCTAAACTTTTAATGCAATCCCTATCAAAATACCGTCAATTTTTTTTCAAAGAAATGGAACAAATAATCCTAAAATGTATATGGAAAAAGAAAAGACCCCAAATAGCTAGAGGAATGTTGAAAAAGAAAACCAAAGTTTGTGGCATCTCAATTCCAGACTTAAAGCTCTATTACAAAGCTGTAATCACCAAGACAGTATGATACTGGCACAAAAACAGACACACAGATCGATGGAACAGAAGAAAGGGCCCAGAAACAGACCCTCAACTCTATGATCAACTGATCTTCGACAAGGCAGGAAAGAATGTCCAATGGAAAAAAGACAGTCTCTTCAACAAATGGTGTTGGGAAAATTTGGACAGCCACATGCATAAGAACAAAACTGGACCAATTCCTTACACCACACACAAAAACAGACTCAAAATGGATGAAAGACCTCAATGTGAGACAGGAACCCATCAAAATCCTTGGAAGAGAATCCAGGCAGCAACCTATCTGACCTCAGTGGCAGCAACTTCCTCCTAGAAACAATGCCAAAGGCAAGGGGAGCAAGGGCAAAAATGAACAATTGGGACTTCACCAAGATAAAAGGCTTTTGCACAGCAAAGGAAACAGTCAACAAAACCAAAAAAGACAGCTGACAGAATAGGAGTAGATATTTGCAAATGACATACCAGATAAAGGGCTAGTATCCAAAATCTATAAAAAGCTTATCAAACTCAACACTCAAAAAACAAATAATCCAATCAAGAAATGGGCAGAAGACATAAACAGACATTTCTGCAAAGACATCCAAATGGCCGGGCGCCTGGGTGGCTCAGTGGGTTAAGCCGCTGCCTTCGGCTCGGGTCATGATCTCAGGGTCCTGGGATCGAGTCCCGCATCGGGCTCTCTGCTCAGCAGGGAGCCTGCTTCCCTCTCTCTCTCTCTCTCTCTCTCTGCCTGCCTCTCTACTTGTGATCTCTCTCTGTCAAATAAATAAATAAAATCTTTAAAAAAAAAAAAAAAAAAAAAAGAATAATAAAAAAAAAAAAAAAAAAAAAGACATCCAAATGGCCAACAGACACATGAAAAAGTGCTCAACATCACTGGGCATCAGGGGAAATACAAATCAAAATCATAGTGAGATACCACCTCACACCCATCAGAATGGCTAAAATTAACAAGTGAGGAAACAACAGATGTTGAGAAAGGGGAACCCTCCTACACTGTTGGTGGGAATGCAAGCTGGTGCAGCCACTCTGGAAAACAGTATGGAGGTTCCCCCAAAAGTTGAAAATAGAGCTACCCTACAACCCAGCAATTGCACTACTGGATATTTACCCTAAAAATACAAATGTAGTGATCCGAAGGGGCACGTGCACCCAATGTTTATAGCAGCAATGTCCACAACAGCCAAACTATGGAAAGAGCCGAGATGTCCATCAACAGATGAATGGATAAAAAAGATGTGGTATATACATACGATGGAATACTATGCAGCCATCAAAAAAACCCCAAATCTTGCCATTTGCAACCACGTGGATGAAACTAGAGGGTATTATGCTAAGTGAGATAAGCCAATCAGAGAAAGACAATTATCATATGATCTCTCTGACAAGAGGAATTTGGGGGGGGTATCATGGTGGGTAGGGAGGGGAAAAAAATGAAACAAGATGGGACCCGGAAGGGAGACAAACTGTAAGAGACTCTTAATCTCAGGAAACAAACTGATGATAGCTGGGGGGGGGGGGGGGGGGATAGGGGGGCTGGGTTATGGACACTGGGGAGGATATGGGCTATGGTGAGTGCTATCAATTGGGTTAAGACTAATATTTACAGACCTGTACCCCTGAAACAAATAATACATTGTGTGTTAATAAAAAAGGAAGGAAGAAAGAAGGAAGGAAATAATACAGAGGTTTCTCAGAAAGTTAACAATAAAATTACCATATGATCCAATAATTCCACTATTGGGTACACACAACTATGCACGCATACAAACATACATACACAGTGAAATACTATGAAGCCATAAAAAGGAATGAGATGTTGCCATTTGCCACAACATGGATGAATCTACAGGATATTATGCTAAGTGAAGCAAGTCAGGAAACAGACTCCTAAATACAGAGAACTGGGTGTGGGGAAGGAGAGGAGTGGGAGATGGGAAAACAGGTGAAAGGTTTTAAGAGCTAAAACTTCCAGTTATAAAACAAGTCATGGAAATGAAAAATACTGTACAGGGAGAAAAAAATAAATAAATTAGGAACAGATGCAAACTACAGCAACATAATAAAAGCCATATATGAAAAGTCTACAGTTAATATCATACTCACTGGTCAAAGCCTGAAAGCTTTTTCTCTAAGATCAAGAAAAAGATAAGGATGCCCACTTTTACCACTTCTATTCCACAAATGACTAGAAGTTCTAGCCAGATCAGACAAGAGAAAGAAATAAAAGATATCCAAATTGAGAGGGAAGATTTAAAACTATCTCTGTTTGCAGGTCTTACATGCAGAAAATCCTAGATTCCACACAAAAAACGTGTTAGAATAGGGGCTCCTGGGTGGCTCAGTTGGTTAAGCATCCAACTCGATTTTGGCTCATCATGATCTCAGGGTTGTGAGATCAAGCCCTGGATCAGTATCCACGCTAAGCACGGAGCCTGCTTAAGATTCTTTCCCTCTCCCTCTCCCCCCAGCTTGCCCACAAGCACATGCTCTAACAAACAAAAAAACCTGTCTGAATAAACTAAATGAGCAAAGTTGCAGGATTCAAAATCAACACACAAACACCAGCTGTGTTTCTATCCACTAACAATGAATAATCAGAAAAAAAAAAATTAAGAAAACAATCCCAATTACGATAGCATCAAAAAAATATGTACAAATACTAATCAAGAATGCAAAAGACCTACATACTGAAACTACAAAACACTACTGAAAAAAATTAAAGACATAAGTAAATGGAAAGGCATCTCATGTTCATGGAGTGGAATACTTGTAATTGCTAAGATGTCCGTGTTACCCAAAGTGAGCTACAGAATATAATGTAATCCCTTATCAATATCCCAATAGCATTTTTGCCAAAGTAAAAAAATCCACCCTAAAATTCATATAAACTATCAAAGGACCCTGAATAGCCTAAACAATCTTGAAAAAGACAACGAAGTTGAAAAACTAACACTTCCTAGTTCAAAACTTACTATAAAGCCACAGTAGTCAAAGTAGTGTGGTACTGATATAAAAACATAAACAAATGCAACAGAACAAAGCCCAAAATAATCCCTTACATATACAGTAAAAAAATTACCAGCAAAGGTGCCAAGACAAATGCTAGTGCGAAACTGGATATACATGAAAAAGAAAGTTGTACCCTTTTCTTACCTCATATCCCAAAATTAACTCAAATGGATCAAAGACCTAAAACTATAAAACTTACAAGAAAATGTAAGTTTCATGACATTGGATATGGCAATGATTTCTTATAGGACACCAAAAACACAGGCAACAATAAAAATTACATAGACTCCATCAAAATTTTAAATGCCTGTGCAAAGACGACAATCAACAGAATGAAAAGGTAATCTACAGGACGGGAAAATATATTTGCAAATCATATCTGATAAGAGTTTTGAAGAACTACAACACAACAACAACAAAAACCCCAACAAATTAAAATGGGTGAAGAATTTAATTAGGTTATTTCTCCAGAGAGGACATATAAATGAGCAATAAGCATGAGAAAAGATGGTCAACATCATTAACCATTAGGAAATGCAAATCAAAATAAAAATCCAGTACCACCTCACACCCATTAGGATGGCTACTATGAAAAATAACAGAAAAAAACGTATTGGCAAGCATGTAGTGAAACTGGAACCCTTCTGCACTACTGACAGAGTATAAAATGGCACAGCCGCTATGTTAAATAGAACAGTGTTTCCTTTCAACATTAAAAACAGAACTACTATATGATACAGCCGCTCCACTTCTGGGTACATACCCAGTATTAAAAGGGGTTTTAAAGAGGTATTTGCACATATCATAGCAACATCATTATTATTTGGGGTGGGGGAGAGGGCAGGCTCCACACCCTGCTCCATCTCACAACCCTCAGATCATGACCCAAGTGAAAATCAAGAGTAAGACATATAACAGACTGAGCCACCCAGGCACCCCTAACATAGCAAATTATTTACAATAGTCAAAAGGGGGAAGCAATCCAAATGCCCATTAGAGGTGAATGAATAAGCAATATGTGGTATATACATACCATGGAATGTTATTTAGCCTTAAAGAAGGAAATTCTGACACATACTGTAATGGATGAATTCTGAGGACATTATGTTAAGTAAAATAAGCCAAATATTATAGCTTATCAAATACTACATGATTCCACTTAAATGAAGTACTTAGTCAAATTCAGAGACACTGAACAGAATGGTGGTTGCCAGGGCATGGGGGGAGTAGAGAGTAATTCAAAAGGTCATCCCGCAAGATGAAAAGAGTTCTGGAGATCGGTTGTACAACAATGTGAATATACTTAACAATCAACGTATTTTACCATAATTTTTAAAAAATTTTAAACAGTAATTCCAACAGCGACATTACCTTTACATTCCAAAATCACTTTGCACTCTGAAAGATACCAGCCCTCCTCATCTCCTCAAAATCTTTCATGGAATCGTAATTTCTGTAGAAATCTGCATATGCCTTCTTTCTTGGTTCGGCCACAGCAAACTAAAAAATAACATATCCCATTAGGGCTTATTTTTTAAGCCATTTTAGAAACAATATCCAAAGACAACATAAATCATGATGTTTGTGTTTACCTTTAACTTGAACTCTGTATTTCCTAAGACAAAGTTGGAGGCACTGACACAGATGCAAGGGAAGATAAAGCAACCTCATGGAAACTACTCAACAAAGGGGTCTTCTTCGCCTGGGGACAGATTATTCCTTTTGCTGGGTGTGGGTATGCAGACTGGTTAAGAGCCAAAGGAAGATACCCAGAAAGCTAAAATGCTTTAGGAAGAAGACAGCAGCGTTCCCTCCAGCAAAACCTAGTATCTCCAAAGCTGACACATGCTAATATATTCTGGCTCAATTTAACTTAATTAACTTAAAATATTAACTTCAAAGGAGTGAGATCAATTCTGTCCCCATCAGCCTCTGAAAGACACCAGAAGCTTTCTATCTGGCAAAAACAGTTCTGGGTGATTTACACTTCAATATCATTTAAGCCCTTAGGATATATATTGATCTGTTGTACACAGGAGGAAATGGGACTCAGAATATAAGTGACCCAGTTAAGGTCTAGGAAGAAGCACTAGGTTCAACCAAGATTCAAACCCAGGTCTGTCATGTGGCAAAGATTTTTATTTTCCACAAAACACTACCTAGTAGATTTCAATGTGTGGGTTATAATCCAAAATCATATCCCATCCTGCATATAAAAACCAGTAAAAAAATTCTCTAAGTGCCAATCTACTTCCATTTAGGTACTGCAGAAATACATGGAATCATGACCTTTGGTACTTACAGTCAGAGTCCTTTACTTGATCAGTTTTCCTGCCTCACCTCCTATGAAAATTCCCAACTTCTTCCAGTAAGACCACGAGACAGGAGACCCAATGCAACCCTCTGAACCGAGGCCAGCATATTACCCAGAAGGCAACTGAGTATTTGTTAAAACAAGAATATATTCCTTTTAAAAATATGGTAGGATGGGGAACGTGGGTGGCTCAATCATTAAGCCTGTCTGCCTTAGGCTCATGTCATGATCCCAGGGTCCTGGGATTGAGCGCCACATTGGGCTCCCTGCTTGGCGAGAAGCCTGCTTCTCCCTCTCCCATTCCCCCTACTTGTGTTCCCTCTCTTGCTGTATCTCTGTCAAATAAATAAAATCTTAAAAAAAAAATAAAATTATGGTAGACTAAAATAAAGTAAAAGGCTCAGCGAACCCCAAAATAAAAGCAAATGGATGTTATAACCCCACCTAAATTATTTTGTTTTCTGTTACACTTAAGACTTTTTTAAGTCTGAAAAATCCAGACTTCAGCAACAAAAAGAATACAAACTATCAATTTAGATCCACTACACCATGAGTTCCTTGAAACCCATAAAATCTATATATGAGGCCTTATACAAATAAGCAAATACCTGAAGATTTAGGAAAGGTCTAGTTCATATAACAGTAATTACCTATGGAAAAAAAATCTATTCAGGATTAAGCACTGCTCATTTGCCTCAAAATCTAACCCATATTAAGGAATTTAGACTTAGCAGATTAACTTAATCAAAATGATTTAATGGATGGTGACTTTATGTAAAAGGCAAAGAAGATGATTAAAACTGGAAAAATCAGTTAAAACTGAGAACAAAATGAAGGCCAAATCTTTAAAAGCATTCAACACTAAGTGCATAAGGGAAATGAAGGATGCAAGCATCTACCACGGGAACAAAGTTTATACCCGCCTTACTCTTTAGTAACTCTAGATCCCTCAGTGCTTTGTGTACTTTCCTTCCACTCAAACACTAATTAACTATACACAACACTGACTAATCTACCAACCAAATTTTAAAATTTTTCATTCAGAACAGACTGACAATTGGTCTGACATGGGCTCTTAATTTAGTAGAACAGACACAACCTGAAGCAAATATTACTTAAAATACAATGTTTCCAATATTTTACAGTCTGGTACAAATGCCTGAGAACCTACCAGAACACTACCAACACATCTGGAGGAAAAGGCTGCAACTCCAAAAAATAACATTTGAGTGGGCCTTGAGGATACACTGGAATCTGCCACACAATGGGATGAAAGACATTCCTGTTGTGTACAAACCCATGGGAGAAAGCAGAAATTTTCTAATATCAACTAGTTATAAAGGGCGGAGGGCTGGGTGTATTAGGACTGCTGGGAAGACGACAGAAAGGCAGAAAAAGCTAATCACAAAGTATCTTAAAATCAAGACCAAGTTTCAGCTATCACCCAGAACCCATTAATAAGTGATGAAACCACTTTAGAAGACTGCAGCCAGTAGTTGATATATTTCTTACTATAAGTCAAAATTTTGAAAGCCACTGCACACTACACATGCAGGAACTCAATACCATAAACAGATCTATTCTACAGGCGTAAGTTAGAAGTGGCAAGAATCCACACAGGTTACCAAGGCCTGAAGTTTGATAGTGACAATGAGAGTGAAGAAATGACTTCCCCAAATTCCTCTCCTCACTCCCACTTCATTTACTCATCCATCCATCCACCCTTTTCCCATAAACATTTATTTCATGCCCACTACATGCCAGGTAGCAACTCTCTCAAGGAGGATGTATGTAAAGGGTTTACATTTTTATGCCTGTATCCTCACAGAGTCCCAAAGCACAGACCCTTAGTGCTTTTGCTCAAGTTGTTCTCCCTCCCCTCAGCACTTCAAATTCACCCTAACTTTAAAGGCATAAATTCAACCTGCTCTATCGAAGAGCATGCCGAAGAGTATGACCCACAATACCCCACACCTACTGAAAGAAAAACACAAAAGCAGCCATCAGCTATCAGAGTATGGTCCTAGTACATGGAGGACAGGGTCCTTCTTGCCCACCCTCATTCTTGCAAACTGTCTATAATCTGCTCCAGGAACAGCTCTGAGAAATGAAATGTCCTTTTATTTATATTCTATTTTATAATAAATATCTAATTTTTCACCCCTCCAACCTGACTCTGACTTCTTTAAAAACACATATTTAGAGGTATATATGTGCATTCAGTATACTCCAAAGCCCCTGAACTCTACAGCACTTAACACTGTACTAAATTTCAGACACTACATCTTATTCAACAGATACTTTACAGCATCTATTTGTATATAAGGCAACAGACAGTGGGATGCTACTGTGAACAAAAAAGGAACCTTGCTCTAAAGAGGCTCCCAGTCTACTAAAAACAGAAGAAATAAGCAAAAAAAATTAAGTACAAAGCACTGCAAACCTCTAACTCATGGACCATTATGACACATGGTCATAAATACATTTACTATCATAAACAATTTTATAGAAAAAAAGTTGTAAATATAAAATTAAGACTTTGAGAAACACAAAATGCATAGAGCATTCTGGGAAAAAAGTGAGAGTAGGAACACCAAGAATCTCTCGCCACCAACACAACTGCGCTAGCACAATAATGTAACTCTCCTGACACTCTGGATCTCTTGAAAGCATACAATTTCCAAAGGAAGGCTTAAATCCTAAATTGTGGTCAGGTTAATTTCATTCACTTTCAGCTTTTAGCAACTTAATAGCTAACCATTCCCCACTCCCAAGGCAGACAGCTGTGCAGGTGTTCCTGGAGCGGTTTACAGGAAGCCTTCTGGAACAAAGATGGGCAAGAAGGACCCTCTCCTCCCTATACCAGGGATCTGCACTCTGATAGCTAACTGCTGCTTTTGTTCAGAGGCCCAGACTTCTTCCCCTCTCTCATTTTTCTCATTTTCTCCTTTTGGGAGCCTGACATTAAAGACTAGCACATTCAAAGGCATCTACACATACACTCCTCACAGAGACTGCAGAATGGATTAAAAAATGACCCAACTATATATGCTGCCTGCAACACTTATTTCAGATCCAAAGACAAAAACAGATGAAAAGGGAAAGGGTGCAAAAAGATATTCTATGAAAATAATAAAAAAAGAGACCAAGAGTGGCTTTACTAATATCAGACAAAATAGACTTTAAATCAAAAAAGACTACAAGAAGGACGCCTGGGTGGCTCAGCGGGTTAAGCCTCTGCCTTCAGCTCAGGTCATATCTCAGGGTCCTGGGATCGAGCCCCGCATCCGGCTCTCTGCTCAGTAGGGAACCTGCTTCCCCCTCTCTCTCTGCCTGCCTCTCTGCCTACTTGTGATCTCTGTCTGTCAAGTAAATAAATAAAATCTTTAAACATCAGAGGACATGAACAGACATTTCTGCAAAGAAGACATCCAGATGGCCAACAGACACATGAAAAAGTGCTCCACATCATTCGGCATCAGGGAAATACAAATCAAAACCACAATGAGATACCACCTCATACCAGTAAGAATGGCTAAAATTAACAAGTCAGGAAAGGACAGATGCTGGCGAGGATGCAGAGAAAGGGGAACCCTCCTACACTGTTGGTGGGAATGCAAGCTGGAGCAACCACTCTGGAAAACAGCATGGAGGTTCCTCAAAATGTTGAAAATAGAACTACCCTATGACCCAGCAATTGCACTGCTGGGTATTTACCCTAAAGAAAGAAACGTAGTGATCCGAAGGGGCACGTGCACCCGAATGTTTATAGCAGCAATGTCTACAATAGCCAAACTATGGAAAGAACCTAGATGTCCATCAACAGATGAATGGATAAAGAAGATGTGGTATATATACACAATGGAATACTATGCAGCCATCAAAAGAAATGAAATCTTGCCATTTGCGACGACGTGGATGGAACTAGAGGGTATCATGCTTAGCGAAATAAGTCAATCAGAGAAAGACAACTATCATATGATCTCCCTGATATGAGGGAGAGGAGATGCAACACGGGGGGTTAAGGGGGTAGGAGAAGAGTAAATGAAACAAGATGGGATTGGGAGGGAGACAAACCGTAAGTGACTCTTAATCTCACAAAACAAACTGAGGGTTAATGGGGGGAGGGGGGTTGGGAGAGGGGGGGTGGGATTATGGACATTGGGGAGGGTATGTGCTATGGTGAGTGCTGTGAAGTGTGTAAACCTGGCGATTCACAGACCTGTACCCCTGGGGATAAAAATATATTATATGTTTATAAAAAATAAAATTAAAAAAAATCTTTAAACATTTAAAAATAAATAAATAAAATAAAAAGGTCACAAGAGACAAAGAAGGACTTTATACATAAAAGCTTCAACACAGTAAGAATTTATTCAATTAGAAAAATTTACTCACCTAATAACACCAGCGAAGTATATAAAGCAAAAAGTGACAGAACTGAAGAAAAAAATAATTCTACAGTAATACCTGAACACTTCAATACCCCAATCTCGGGGCTCCTGGGTGGCTCAGCGGGTTAAAGCCTTTGCCTCAGGTCATGATCCCAGGGTCCTGGGATCGAGCCCCGCATCGGGCTCTCTGTTTGGCAGGGAGCCTGCTTCCTCCTCTCTCTCTCTCTGCCTGCCTCTCTGCCTACTTGTGATCTCTGTCAAATAAATAAATAAAATCTTAAAAAAAAAAAATTACCCCAATCTCAGTGACAGATAAAACCACACCAGACCTAAATAAGGAAATAGAGGACTTAACTCATTACACCAACAAAATCTAACACAACCCAACAACAGAATACGTAATCTTTTTTAAAAAACAGTGATTTATTTATTATTTATTTGAGAGAGAGAGAGAGAGAGACTCCACAAGCAGGAGGAGGAAAAGAGAGAACCAGTCTCCCCTGCTGAGCAGGGAGCCTGACGTGGGCCTTGATCCCAGAACCCTGGGATCATGACCTCAGCTGAAGGCAGACACTTAACTGACAGAGTCACCCATGTACCCCCAGAATACACATTCTTCTCAATTACACATTGGATATTTTCTAGGACAGACCATATACCAGGCCATAAATTAAGTCTCAAAAGATTTAAAAAGACAGATATTATACAAAGTATGTTCTCTGATCACAATGGCATGAGACCGGAAATCATACAGAAGGAAAACTGGAAAATTCACAAAACTGTGGAGATTAAGCAACAAACTTTTAAACCACCAATGGGAGAAAGAAGACAAAACGAATGAAATCAGAAAATATTTAGAGACAAATGAAAGAACAAAACACACCAAAATTTAGAGGACACAATGAAAGGAGTGCAAAGGTGGGGGAATTTTTGGCTAGAAACACATATATTAAAAAACAAGAGAGATCTCAATCAACAACCTAACATTACAACTCAAGGAACCAGAAAAAGAACAAGATAAATAGCTAGAAGGAGGGAAATAATAAATATAAGAGCAGAGATCAACAAAACAGAGACTGGGGGGGGGGGGGACCGAGAAATCAACAAGGCCAAAAAAACGGGTTCTTTAAAAATATCAAGAAAACTGACAATCCTTCTGAATGAAGAATACAAATCCTTCTGAAATCTTTCCAAGCAGCTGAAGTGGAGGAACACTTACTAATTCATTTTATGAAGCCAGCATTACCCTGATACCAAAAACAGACAAAACACTACAAGAAAACTACAGACCAAAATCCTCTATGAACACTCATGCAAAAAAAAAAAAAAGAAAAGAAAAAAGAAAACAACAACAAAAAAAAATCCCTTAACAAAATACTAGCAAACTGAATTCAGCAGCATATTAGAAGGACTGTATCCAATTAACAAGTGAGGTTTATTCCGGGAATACATGGATGGTTCAACATACCAAGGGTCCAACATACAACATCAATGTAATATATATTAACAGAAAGAAAAAAAAACCCACAGTAATCTCAATTAATACAAAAAGGCATTTAACAAATTCAATATCCTGTCATGATAAAAACACTCCAACTATAGGAACAGAATCAAACTACTTCAACATAACCCATATGATGTCTACTCTTGTTACTTCCATTCAACACAGTATTCTAACTTCTAGCCAGAGCAATTAGGCAAGATGAGAAATAAAAGGTATCTAAATGGGAAAGGAAGAAACAAAATCATCTGTTTACAGATGATATATGTAGAAAACCGTAAAAATTCCACAGGGAAAAAACCTGTTAGAACCAATAAATAAATTCAACAAAGTAGCAGGATGTAAAATGTCAGACAGTACTACGGAAACCACCAGGCTGCCTGAAAAATTACACACAGAATTACCATATAACCTACCAATTCTACTTCTGGATATATGCTATAAAAAACTAAAAGCAGAGTCTTGAAGAGATACCTGTAACCCATGTTCATAGAAGCATTATTCACCATAGCTAAAACATGGAAGCAACTCAAATGTCCATCAAAAGTGAATGAATAAGTAAAATGTGGTACAGATATATAATGGAATTGTTTTTAAGATTTTACTTATTTGACAGAAAGAAAGCACAAGCAGGGGGAGCAGCAGGGAGAGGGATAAACAGGCTCCCCACTGAGCAGGGAGCCAGACGTGGGGCTCGATCCCACGACCCTGGTACCATGACCTGAGCCAAAGGCAGACACCTTACCAACTGAGCCATTCAGGTACCCCATACAACAGAATATTATTCACTCTTTAAAAGGAAGGAAATTCTGACATATCCTACAATATGGATAAACCTAAGGGTCATTATGCTAACTAAAATAAGCCAGTTAAAAAAGACAAAATAATATATTACTCCATTTACATAAGGTACCTAGAGTGAGTCAAAATAAGATACAGAAAGAAATGTTTGACAGAATGGATGGAGAAGGGATGGATAGTTTGTTTTACAAGATGAGTTATGGAGATAGGTTGTGGGGATGGTCATACAACATTATAAATGTATTTAATACCACCAACCTGTACACTTAAAAATGGCTAAATTTTATCTCTAGTTTACCATAATATAAAAAATATATTAAAAAAAAAAAAGCCCCAAAAGGCATAATGTTAAAATCCACAGAAGGCACAGCAATTAAAATGCAGTTCTGTGGCAACAAATTCTTCAAGCTGCCAAACACCACCTTCCGCATCCCTCTGCTTTAAAAAAATTATATCCTTGTGTTACGGGCTGAACTGTCTTCCAAAATTCATGTGGTCTTAAGACCATAGTACTTCAGAATGTAACAGTATTTGGAGATAGGTCTTTAAAGAGATAAACTAAAATGACCTTTGGAGGGTGAGTCCTAATCCAATATGACTAGCATCCTTTCAAGTGTAAATTCAAACAAAAATATGGTAACAGAAAGACTGTGTGAAGATAAAGGGAGAAACCCATCTACAGGCCAAGGAGGGAGGCTTCAAGCGATATCAACCTCGCAGCCAAACTGATCTTGGATTTCTAGCCTCTAGAACAGTAAATACACTTCTGTGTTTTAAGCCGCCCAAGGTGTTGTACTTTGGACCCTAGCAAACTAATACAGCTTCCTTTAAAGATGGAGAAGAAGCTATCTGGAGAATATGAGGTATTTTCCTCTCACACTGAGTTAAGTGGGGGAAGGAAGGGAGCACATTAGAGGAATTTCTTTAAAAGATTCAGAACTACTTATGAAAATATTTTCAAATTTAAAACACACATTTTTGGACCAAAACAAAAATCAAACATACGTACCTTATAGAAAGCTGCAACCCCCAGGGATACAACGAAGGCTCCAACAACATGAAATCGCAGACGCTTGGCCAGAAGGCCTCGCATCTGAGGTTTCGTCAAAGCACTGGAAGTCATGGTAGTTATTCTCCTTGATAAGTAAAATAATAAAAACTCTGAGAACACAGTAAGATATCTAAAGAACTCTTACACAAAATTCATTTTAGTACCCAGAGGAGCACAGGCATGATTCCTCCCACAAAACCTAAGGTGTTTATTTTATTATTTTTTTAAGCCTAAGGTGTTTAAAGGTTTAGTCTGCTTCAGGGTTTCGCTGCCTCCCGTCCCCCCAACCCCGCCCCGCACGCTGAACAACAATCCTAAATAAGCAAGGTCACTGCGGCAAAGTGGGGAGCAAAAACTACAAAAATCTCCCAATCTCAGTTAAGATAAGCAGGGGCTCTAGACTGACAAGTGCAAACGCATTTACAGCCATTTGCTCTTCTGAGAACTTAAGTATCAGCTTATTAGTCCCATTTTATTGACCAAAAAACTAGGGCACATGGAGGTGACGTGTAACTCTTCCAAGGTCACGGGGTAAACGATTTAAACTCGGGCAGAAGCCCAACCCTGGCCTCCAGGGCCCACCTAGCGACTGCTGCGCTGTCCCACAGGCCTTAGGCCCAGGAGGCTGGAGGGCTGGGATGAATGGCCGTGGGAGCGCTGGGAGGCTGCAGGACGCTCACCTTTCCCTCCGCCCCCCTCCCCGCCATCAGGCACGGGGACCCTTTTCCAGCTTATGCAGGCGAGTCACCAACGTTACCACACAGCAAGCAAGCACCGACCGCGAGTAGACGCTGCTGTTTTCCCCACGTTGCCCCTTTGCCTCGCGACCCCCTGAGGAAGAAACCACCACTCCCTTACCACGGGTGAAAACCCTGGCGCCAGACAAGTCAAATGACCTAACCAAGGTCACACTGGGGAAAAAACACAGCGGAGACCAGGCGGGCCAACCGCCTCCGAATCCCAGTTGCTTCCTCCAGACAGCTGCAGCGCACCCGGCCCCGGCGACCCCGCCGCCTGCCCGCAGCCCTCCTGAGGCCGCGGCGGGGGCGTGCAGGGGTTGACCCCTATGAGAGGTGAGGCTCCCCGACCGCAGAAATACGGGCAGCACTCAACTCCAGGGATGAGCGAGGGCAGGCAACGGAACGCAGCAGTTAGGTGAACCCTGAGGAAGAACGCAAAAGCAACACGACTCACCTCTACACCAACCTCAACCTAACGTCCTTCCTAACAGATAATGAAATGGACGGCGTTCCAGCCGTGCGCAGGCGCAGAAGAAGCAGCGGCGGAAAGGACCCAGCGACGGTGGCCGGAAGAGTTCAAACGAGCTCCGGCGTGCCTCCCGACTTTCGCAGCTCTAGTTGAAGTGCGTGGTTAGTTTCTTCCCTGTAAGAGCTTGGACTAAAGGCTTGACCTTCTAAGTCGGTTTCCATAGTAATTTGGAGATATTAATCTTACTCAGATACAGAGTTGATCTGAGTTTATTAGAGATACAAGGATATTCAGTATGTAATATTTTTAAATTTACCTTACAAATACAGTGCAAATTATCCTGGGCCCATGCATCCCGCAAACCATGTGCACAAACTGTCATTTTCATTATTAACTAACTTTATGCGAATAATCGTTTGGTTTGGGTAAAGGGTTACTAAGACAGCCAAGTTCTAGGAGCTCAGAGCGCAGCCAATGAAACCGACATAAACAGATTAGTATCAGTCCCAAGTGGTGGGCAATTCCATAGAGACATGACCCAGCTACTGCAGAAGCAATTACCCGTCTGGCAGAGCTGAACAAATTCTAATGGATGTATTGTGAGAGGGTTTTTGTTAAGACGAGTGTTTTAAAAGAAGGCAACTGGAAGGTGATGGAAAGTGGTGTGTAAGGGTAAGGCAGTCGTATGGTAGGTGTGTCAGGCTTGATTTTCATTGAAATAACTTGGATTTATAGCGTTAAGTCAATTCAGCAAGCGCTGTGGAAAATACATTAGGATACAAAATATACCTGGTATAGATTCAACATATATTGATGAAACATTTACTATGTACCAGGTTCTGCTATATAGTAGGACAAATCTTCAAGGAGGTACATTCTTATCAGGGAATTTTTGCTCTCAACAGACACTGTTGGGGTGAAAACTTTCAGCCACACAGTAAAGGTAGGTGCTCACTGAGGGTCCAAGTGGGTTTCTATCTCAGTAACATTCTTTTCAGACCTCTTACCAACCATCTACCCAGCTAAAAATCTTTACATGGGATTTGCCCAGGTGGTAACGTGTTCGCATTTCCCACCCCTACAACTGGCTCAGAGAGCGAGCAGTAAATTTTAGAATTCATAGGGATTGTCTGTTGAATAATTAGGGAAAGCTTTAGGGAAGTCATGGAAGAGATGGAAATGAAGCTTAGTTTAATGGAGAGACCTGGAGAAGTGGAGAAATCTAAGAGACAAAATTGGCCAGAAGAATGTGGCAAAGACAGATACACTCAGGAAACAGAGCCTGGCCAGGATGGAATGCTGAGTGGTGGTTTACGAGCACTGGATAGTGAGCGAAGCACAGGGCCAATCATAATAATCCAAGGTGACACATGAATAGAACCTAAATGATAGTGGTGAATAGAGAGGATGGCTTATGTGGGTTCTGTTCTAGAGCCTATCAGACCTGGATGTGAGTCTCAGCTCATGACCTCCTGGCTGGCAAATTTCTTAATCTTTCTAAGTCTGCTTTCTCCTCTCTAAAATGGTATCCTTTTTACTTCAGTGACATATGTAACCCAGCATATAATTTTATTATTTCAAAATATTATTATTTCAACATATACTCAATATAAACCTTATTAGTAAGATCTTTACATTCTTTTCCCATACTAAGTCTTGGTGTCTATTTTTCAAGTATAGTACATCTCCATTCAGACTAGTCACATCTCAGGTTCTCAAAGGTGTATATTGTATTGGACGTAATAGTTAAAACACCTTAGTCATAGGAGAATGCTCAAGATCAATTGTTAAATAAAAAGGCAGGCTACGGGGCACCTGGGGGGCTCAGTAAGTGTCTAGCTTTGGCTCAGGTCATGATCTCGGGATCCTAGGATTGAGACCCGTGTGGGGGTCTCTGCTAGGTGGGGAGCCTGCTTCTCCCTCTCCCTCTGCCCTTTCCACCGCCCATACTCTCTCTCTCTTTGTGTCGCAAACAAAATCTTCTAAAAAGGCAGGCTGTAAAACTATGCTAAATGATCTAATTTTGTAGCACATGCATGAAAATATACATATGTGCTGATGTGCAGAAAATAATGTTGAAAGGGTCCACAACAGAAACTTGTATTAGGGATTTTTTTATATTTTATTTGTCAACATCAAATCAAATGTATTCTACATTTGATTTCCTTTTATAGTTAGAAAAACAAATGTGATTTTCTAAAGGAGAGATGTGTTTGTTTCTTATTATCACTGTAACAAAGTGCTACAAACGTACCTTGAGACAACACACATGGGGCGCCTGGGTGGCTCAGTGGGTTAAGCCTCTGCCTTCGGCTCAGGTCTTGGTCTCAGGGTCCTGGGATTGAGCCGCACATCCGGATCTCTGCTCAGCGGGGAGCCTGCTTCCCCCCTCTCTCTCTGACTGCCTCTATGCCTACTTATGATCTCCCTCTGTCAAATAAATAAATAAAATCTTTAAAAAAAAAAAAAGACAACACACATTTGTTACCTTACAGTTCTGTAGTACGGAAGTCTGACACAAGCCTCCGGGACTAAAATCAATGGGCCTGCAGGGTTTTACTCCTTCTGGACGCTCTAGAGCAGAATGTTCTGTGCCTTTTCCACCTTCCAGTGACTGCATACTTAGGCAGTGGCATCCCTACTTAGCTCATGGTCCCCTTCCTCCGTTTTTAAAGCCAGCTGCGTTGCTTATCTCTAATCCTGCTTCTGATGTCACATCTCTTACTCTGACTTTCCTTTTCTGCCTCCCTCTTCCATATTCTCCCTTGTGATTACATTGGGCCCACCTGGATAATTAAGGATAATCTCCCTACTTTAATGTCAGCTGATGAACAACCTCAACTTCATCTGCAACTCCATGCCGCTTTGCTCCATAACATAACATAATCCAGGAATTAGGACCTGAACAACTTGGAAGGGTCATTATTCTGCCTACCACAAAAAGCCTGGTTGTAATTTGTACAGTCTAACAAATATTTCTACTCTCCTCTCAGGCATGTGGTAGGCCTATACTTTCCTGATGCCTTGAAAGTTGGGATATGACTTGCTGTGGCCAATGCAATACGAGTGGAAGTGACATGTGTCACTCCCGGGTAAAACCACAGCATCTGGTTTGCCATGTTCTCTTTGCCCTGCCTTTGTTATAAGGGAAGTATTGAGTGAGTTGGCACCTACGTCTGCTGGATCTGAGAGAAATCAAGATAAGCAGAGCCTGCCTACTCTCTTCCACTGGCCAAACTCAGTGAGTGAGGAGTAAACAGTATGGTCGTGTGTTATTCCACTGAGATTCAGGGATTATTTGGTGTTATGGACACACTTAGCTTGTCCTGACTGGTAGAAGAGGTTAAGAAATGTATTTAGTTAAGGGGATGCGTGCGTAGATGCTGAGACAGGTAAGTGATAGAGACTGTGAGAATGCGAAGAGGAAACAGGGACATTAAGCTGGCATTGAAAATGAGCTATGTTGATCACCACGCCTTCTCCTAAGTTGAAACAAAATGGCTCATTCATGTTAGAGGCATCCCCGGGCCCACCCTTGAGCTCTAGAGAAGCTTCGAGGTTCTCAGAGCAGCTCTGAGTTTTATAAAAGAACCCTTCTGCTGCTCAAGTCCTCTGGCTACCAACCCAAGGGAACACTGGATATGTGGGTCCCTCAGGAGAGTTTTTCCTGAGGCATCAGCTCCTCAAGTCTTCCTAGGCTGATGAGGTACTGGATTCTAGGGGACTCTGGCCTCCCTGAAATGTGTGTGTCAATCAGGGACATGTTTTCCGGCTACCCCAAGGCTGAGTTGCTGCCTTGCTGTATCCGTAAGCCCCATGTAGCACCCAGTAGTTTGCAAAATACATTCATGTTTGTATTTTCATTTTGTCCTCTCAATAATTCCGTGAGATGTACAGGGATTCTTGTTCTTTTAGATAAAAGATGCTGAGAGATACAGTGGTAGAAAAATAGCAGAACTGGGACTAGAATCTAGAGTGGGATTCCTCCCACATCACGGCTGTGAAGAGTACCTCCAGAGAAACAAATCTACCTCAGTGGGCACCACTCATTAGTCGATGATGATTTGTTGAGCACCTGCTGTGGGCTCTGTGTTGCTATCCCCAAAATGGCTGAAAGTATAGTCCTAGGAAGCCACAGAGGACAGTCCCCAAATCAGTCAGTCATTTCATAACCATCCATTTCTCCTTTGTTGAATAGATATATCCTCCTAGTCCCACTTAGAAAAACCTAAGAAGTTATTAGTTCAGACGAATAGTAATAAGGTGCTTTTCTGACCATTTCAGAGCTAGTAGTAATTAAAACAACTTTTCCAGAATTGAACTGACATCACTCACAGAAGCTGTACACAGAGATACTCTCGCCTAAGAAAGCCCTCTATGAAACAAAGCTATTAAGTGAAAGAATAATGTGAAACTTTACTGCATTAAGAACACAGAGAGAGCATGGGATGCCTGGGCGGTGCAGTAAGTTTAGCCTCCAATGCTTGGTTTCAGCTCAGGTCCTGATCTCAGGGTTGTGAGATCAAACCCTGTGTAGGCTCTGTGCTCAAGGCAGTCTGTTTGGCTCTCTCTCCCTCCCGCTCTCTGCCCCTCCTCCCTGCCTCTCTCTCTCTCTAACTAAATAAGTAAATCTTAAAAAAAAAAAAAAGAAAGAAAGAAAGAAAAGAATACAGAGAGGGTAAAAAAGAAAAACTCAAAGTTTACTAGGTTGAAAGGAAAAAACAAACCTTGCATGAGAAGGCAGAAATACCATATTTTAACTTCTAAGAGGACACAACAGAGCCAGAAG